GAAATCTTCATCTCCAAATATAGGTGTCCTTGTTTCATACTGACAAAAGTGAAGCCAAAAGGAGGGCCTGTGCAAGATACAAGCCTCCTTATTTGCCACAGAGTTGGTAAGAGTTCTTGAGAATATTTCCAACACACATGGAAAAGGTTAGAAGGCAATAAGCACTTCTTCCAAGAAGAAAGGATTCAAAAGACCCCAAGAAACAAAACCATTAATATTAGCATAAAATTACTTACAAAAGTAACAGGCTACCATTGAATTTTGTGATAGAGTATTAGGTTTGGCTCCATACATCTAATGGGACTCCAGCTCCCATATTCATCCCACAGAGATGAATTAAGTTTCAAATAAAAGTTAAGCTCAAGATAGAAAGGTGACTCAAGATGGGAGGTTTCCTGTCATTTTCTATTTAACAGAACACTCCAGATAGCAAAGACCTTTCTTCACTTGGCCGTTACTGCCTCACCTTCAACAGAATGAGGTATCCAGTTTCATGTCAAATTGAAGTAACATCCCTATGCAATATTGTCTTATAAAGTCCTAAGATAATAGCAGGCTATGAAGAGGAAGGCAACTATTCCCATTCCTAGAGGTACAGAAAAATACTTCATCATAAAAGCGTGCCAAACCGGAACAAGTCTTTCCACATCAATAATGAAAAATTCACTTTGAAAATACTCGTTTTGTTAGAAAACCATTACAAAAAGAATATTTTCACTGAGGTTCCCTGCCCCATACTGAATATCAACCCATTGCAATAAAAGTCTGAAGGGGGAAAAAAAAAAAACCCAACTATAAAAAGTTACATTTGCATCTCTGAAAATGATTGAAAGGAGAAAAGACCTACTTGCTGGCAAAACAGAGCATTGTGCAGTCCATAGGAAGCAACAGTATTAGAATAAAATCCGTAACTTATCACCTTAGTTTTGATGCAAAAGCTTTCTTCTATCTACATGTCCCACACTCAATTTCTATGAAACCAGTAAATATTTATCAAAAAACTTTTCATTTTTTGCACTGGTTGCTTTGTCTGTGCTTTTCCCCCCAAATTTTTTTACAGGAAAAACAGACAGGCTACAAGGATAGCATATTTTGAAGGGCTGGGAAACTTTTTTCTATTTCCTAAATCAGCACACCAGTTACATAATTTAGTGATACATACTGCCAGCTGACTATTTGAAAGAAAATACATATATATTTCCAGACCAGAAAAATTTCTCTCAGCAACTATCTTACTACTACTACAATTCAAAAAAATTGTCACTTCCTCTTTGTGAGCCCTGTAATTACTTCAATACATTTTACCCCATTCCTTTGCTATTATGTTTTAGACTGCTCAGTGATTTTATGCTGTCATGTTATCTTTTTTCTCATTTTCTCAGAAAAAAAAAAGTGCAACTTATTCAGATATTTAGAAAACAATACATTTATTAGAATTTTTTAGTAGCACGATTTTCACCATCTTCCCCAAGAACACTGCTAGAAAGGTATGTCAATCAACAATATTCTGAAACTTTTGTCTCCCTGACAAATGGGGATACTTGTAACCAGTAGAAAAAAAAGATTTGTGAGCTGACGGGCTCATATCTTCTCAGTATCTAGTGGACTACAGTGAAGCACTCCTTTGGAAATCTGGAGCACCTCAGCTCCCACAACTGGGAAGGGAAAAAACACAACAGATTAAGAAAGGAGAGAAATCAAGCCAGGATGGGATAGATGGATATAGGGAGAGGTTATGAGCTAGCTTAAATATGCACGTAGTCTCTGGGCCTCAGGACACCAGCTGCAACAGCTTTTTGGGATACATAAGGTAAAACGCCTAACAACTCTTTACCTTGCAAGCCCCCTCTGCCTGTCAGAGAATACCCCACCACCTGCTAAAGCCAATAGCTTTGTTTCTACAGCAGACTCCTCTTGCCTGATACCTCAGGTTAGCCACAGGGCTCCCAACTGGAAGACAGTTATGGGTTGATGCTCAAAGACTACCTCATATGATTTCACATGCTAGATTCAATGAAGATAACTGCATCCAAGGAGTGTTTAAAAAAAAAAAAAAAAAACACCACAAAACCCAACACCAAACATTATACTTTTACCTAGCCTTTCTGGCAGCTTTGTAATAGAGAATATCTAGGTTGGAAACCCTGATCTGGATCCTTGATTCCTACCCAGTTCTTTTGATGTAGCAATGTCCATTTGGTGTTACGGAAGGTGCTTTTCAGAGCAAAATACTTCTAAAAGGTCAGCTACGCATCACTTTCACCAAATAATTATTGAAGAGGGAGAGAGGGGGAAAAGGTTTTGGTACTTCATCCTCAACTTTCCTAAGCAAGAGGTGACAGAACAACCTGGCTTTACAGCTGTCTTGCCTGCTGGGAACTTGACAAACTTTATGGTTCACTTGTTAAAAGCAACTGGCCAACTATCGGAAACTTCAGTGGGCTGAGTTAAAACCATGTGACCTAGAAAGGTAACCTCCCATTCCACGCAAGTAAATGGATTTTTAAGATTTCTGTTTGAATAGAGCTATTCCAGGTGATGTCTTTGCAGAGCTGATGATGCTTCCTATGACATTTGTAATGATACTTTTTGGATAGAAAACATTACATTTCAGAAGACTTGATCCAGTTTTGTTTCAGACTTTTCAAAATGGTAAGGGAGACTATGAAAAATGGACAGTTTTAATCTCCTGCTTTTAAGTCCCTCTGACACAGCTTCTGACTGGGCTTTCCTTGAGTTTGTTTCTATAACACAATCAAAATTAACCATCTGTTTGGGTGGGTTTTGCCTTTTTTTTTTTTAGTCTCTGGGTGACAAACTGAGTTTTCAGAAATAGAAAGCAAAAGGATGAATGCTTAAGAAATCAATAATGCTAAAGGTCTACATTTAACAAAAGTGTCAGAAATGTAAGTTTTCTTTTTAAAGTATCTTAGCCCCACATCAGAATACCTTGCTTACACAGTCAACAGTTTATCAGTCTATCCAGCTTCAGCAACTAGTGTAGCATCATTAAGGCTAGCTCTGGAGCATTCAATGCGGAAGGCAGAAAAAAGTAATTCTGCCATTAAACACGTTTCATGGAACGTGATAAACAAGAAACATGACCTTTCTACATGAAAACATACCGTATTTGCTTGAAAAAAAGGTCCACTTGACTAATGGCAACATGCTGGTTTTAGCCCTCACAGGATTAAAAAAACCTTAAGTACAGTACCTCCCTGCACATGCTGGTTTTTAACATCAGGTTGCAAACATCTAAACACAGTTCCCTGTGCTGACAGCTGCAAGAGTATTCGGCTACGCTGTCTTCACAACAGGACTGGACTGCCCTAACAGGCTGAGCATTGCATTGGCAGCACTGTCAAATCAGTTATTTGCACCCAAATGGTCAGTAGAATAACAAAATGAGCACAGATCCGTACAAAAAGAGTGAACAGATATGCTGTACCCTGCAATAAAGCAGACTATCCTATTACACTCATATAAAGGCCACACCCCTTATTTATAATGCTGAAACTGGGGAAGAGTGAAGCTCTCATTAAAGCCAGTAAGATATGCCTGCAGAGGCACAGACACGCTTGCAGTCTCTGTACAGAAAACTGTGAGCATAGGCACATCCTATTTGTGTGACTTCCTCCTTCAAGACAGGGGTCTGTTCTTGCTCCAGCGTTAGGAGTTTTTACGTATTTGAACAAGAGTAAAGTTTTACATGTCTATAGTGCCTTTCACTCAAAGATCTCAAAGGACTTTATACCTATTACATATGTCCCAACCCCTCCCCCTGTGAGGTAGGTATTATTCCTATTATTTACAGATGGGGAAATTCAGGCACAGAGGTTACATTATTTGCCCAAGGTCACACAGTGAGTCAGTGACAACATAAAACAGAATCCAGATGTTCCGATTCCTGTTTGCACAATCCAACTACTAACAAGCCTCAATTTCAAAAGAGCCTTAAACAAGTATCAGTGTGCATAAGAACAGTCTTGGGTTTCAAGGGCCACTCCTAGAAAGCACAAGAAAGGAGGAAAAACAGGGAAAAAAAAAAAAGAAGAGTGTGGGGACACATAACTTACTTCTGCAAGCCAGCAGAGCTTTAAAGAAAGAGTTCCTGCTAATTCCCTCCCCAAAGCTGAGGCAGCTTGACTGTGAGTCTGGGATACAGGGGATGGGAAAAGGAGGCTGATGGAACCAAAGTTTGAAACAAAAAAGCAAGCTAGAATTAACAGCCATACCGTAAGCCTTCATCTTTTCAAAAGCACAGGGTCATAGAAAAATAGGGCTGAGAGGGACCTCAAGAGATCGTTGAAGTCCATCTGAACTGCCTTGAAGCCAGGATCAACTACACCTACTTGTTCCCAACAGTCTAGTTAGTCTGTTCTCAAAGACCTCCACCAGTGGAGATGCCATGCCCCTCCTCTGCAATCTGTTCCACCTTGCACAATCACATGAGCAAAAGAGGACAAGCGAGTCTAAGATAGCTACTTCTGCTCCTTCAGTGGGGGTACCATGATTTCCAGGCCTATCTAATGATCTGAATACATTTCAGAGAAGGTAGTCTCCAGATATTTACTTGTTTCTGTCCTGGATTCCTCGGGAAAACATCAAACACTGGTGTCTGCTGTAGTGTAATATTTGAGTTTTGAAAATACTGATTAATACCAGGATAGATACCAATATACTCACTGCAAGTGCCAAATCCTACAAGGTCAGTAACAAAGACTTTGATATGATAATTTTAGCTCATTGCAGATTCAAACTGCAATAAGAGGGCAGGGAAGACTACAGAAAAACCCCACAGCAAAAGTCAGCAGCTCAGAGTTGCCAAGTTTCATCCAACTGCAGACAAAAATCAGGCAGTCGAACAACACATCTTCAGCAGAGGCAGCACCATATGATATCTGTAGCATCCCTCCATCTCATCTGTCTTCAAAGTGCATTCTCAGTGCAAAAAGTAGGATTGAATTTAGAGGGGCTCACTGTCCCCAGCGGATTTCATACTAAGACCAGAATTCTTGCTTGAGTTCATATGCTGCAGCTTTGTGTGTGTTAAGTTCACTTCTGCATAGCGGAATGGTGCTGTCCTGGCTCTGCCCCTCAGCATCTATGTCCAACAGTGTCCGCTCCTCTACAGGAAGACCCACCTGAAAAGGAAGCAGTGCAGGCAGTCCAGGTCTCTCTTCTACAGTGCTGCTGCTACTAGCAAAACAAGAGTCCAGATTGCTTGGAGTATCAGTACTTGAACTGTTGGCAGAAGATTCACCCTTGGCATTGCTGGGTGACACAAACCACCAGGGATCAAGCCGCTGCCGACTGGCTGCAGGACGTGGCCGGGGCAGGAACTCCAATGTCTTGGGTCTTTCCAGTGTGGGGTCCTGCTGTGCATTCCATCGTCTTGGGGTTGGAGGAAAAACAAGGTTGGGGTCTGGCAGGCGTGGGACCTCATTGGGATCTCTACTTGGACTAGGTGTTTTTAATACACCTATCCAAAACAGAGAATGTAAGAGAAGAGGGAAACATGTTAGATGTCACTGCTAAATGGTTCCAACAGATCTTAGTCTATTGTATGTACACTGTGAAAACATTTTCAAAGCAGAAAGTCTCCATTCAGAATCTACAAACTCCATTATCTTCAAGATTACGCCTATCTGGTGAATAACTGGCTTCTTTATCCCTACACTGTTCTCAACACATTGCAAGGCACCTGTTTCACTGACCTAGCACAAGCAGCAAGTTTGGTTCATTCTCTCATTTGCTTTCTTCAGTTTTCACACTGGAGAACATGGATTTGACCTCCTACCAGAGGTGAGGACTCTCCAAATCCTTTGGAGGGCACATTACCCATTAACAGCTTGAATGGATCAGGGAGACACTTGCACAGCAGGATATGTGATACCTGTTTGCAGCAAGCAGGACCAACTTCCTGGAACAGCCATTTAACACTACCTACTGTGGACGCTTCCTGGTTTGTTTTCATTTAGGGGTAGGGGGTGGTGTTGGGGTTTTTTTTGTTTTGTTTTTATAAACACAACGTAACTTTTAAATTTTCACGAATACCATTTTAATGAGTATTCTCAGTGGCATTAACCCACATTTTACTGCAGACTGCCATTCAACAGACAACCTCACATTTTGTTTTACCATTGGGAAAACTCTAATTAAATCAGATTTTAATATTCCAGTCCTTTTTTTCCCTCTGAATTACTAGGGCAAGAAAGCAGGAAAGCATTTTTTTAAGTTATCAAGTCACAGCCACTCCCAAAGACTGCAACAGTGAGAACACTACCTACCCAGGAAGATCCCCCTTGCTTGCAAAGGAACAAGAGCAACAGTGGCACAGCCCCAAACTGCTGTAGAGATCCAGTTTTCACTGCCTTAAAGATCAGAATTTACTTTGAAATTGTAACAGCAATACAAACAAGTGTATAAAGGAAATGGAGATGGAAGCTCAAGGAACTGCTAAAAATGCGCAATATTTGTACTTTGGTACCATCTTTGTCTATTAAACAATACGATGCTCTGCCTCACAGCGCACGGGAGCAGAGAGGGTTCCTTAGCACAAAGATGCTGGAACAGAGACCATTACTGCATTATTCTGTTCATTATTTGCGTAAAGATAAGATCCATAAGCTCTTCTTGTGTGCTGGCCATCACAATGGATGCTGTATAAACAACACGTTTACTTCCTAACAAGTAATTATATTGTTTGGGTCTTTATTCTGAAGAGGAAAAGGAAGATGGCTGAAAACCTACCTGCTCCCAGTGCTCCAGTTAAACAGCTACTGGAAGGGCATCCACTGGTTGGGCACCCATTCACAATTAGTCCACTCCCTTTGATGGCCCCATCAGAAGGTGTGCGCCTGTGCCCACTTTGATGGGTGTGGGAAGAGACCGTCACATGTGTGGGAGTCAGGGACTGGTTGGGATCTTGTTTGAACCTTTCGATCTGGACATTGACTAGTGGGTTGGTAATGGCTGGCAAGGGAGCCTTGACTGTCACTGGGCTGACAGGCATTTCATACACCACAATCTCATCGCTGTCTGAGCGCAGCAGGGACCGGGTGGAATTACATTCGGAAATGGAAGACAGGGAAAGAAGGGTGAGGGATGTGGATGGCTCGCCTAGCAACAACATTGGATCCTCCTTCTTGAAGATCTTTCGGGAAGGTGGACTAGTGCTCCTGCGTGGGCGTCCAGCTCGCTGGAAAATGCTGTCACGCTTCTTCTTCTCTTCCTTGGGTGCCTCTGGCTCCTCCTCAATCAGCAGCTGACACTTCCCTGCTTCTAACAGATCAAAACCCAGGCCTGCAGCAGCCAGCACTGCTCCACAGCTAAGCAACGCAACCTCGCATCGCTTGTGGTGGGAGCCACTACGTTTGAGGCTGTTGGTGGGTGTCAGCTGCGGGGTACTCGTAGCAGAGTTCACAGGGGTGGACTCCTCATTAGCATCACTAGAAGGGCCATCCCAGTCTTCATTCTTCTGAAATGGGATGCAGAGGTACGACTGATTGTGCCCAGGTGAAGGGTGCACTTTGCCCTCCCCATTAAGACATTCACTGTCTTCATCATCTGGAAAGCAAATGAAAACAGATTTTGCATGGATGTAACATTTCCACTGGTAAATTTCACTGTCTTATAAATACACGTGAAAATAAGCTTCTCCTCAGAAGATGCAACTGTCCTCATCGCAAGCATCATTCACCAACTGCCAAATACTCACGGGCTACTGTCTCCAAAGCAGATAGGCTGAGACAAGTGCCTGGAAACACTATCAAAGTGGAAGAAATTAGTGACACGTTAATCTATTTGGGATCAATTGCAGAACAGCATTTCAGAAGCAATCTACACCTCAGTTACTTCTAGAATAATTTTATATGTTTGGGAGTGAGGAACAAAAGGTAGGAAAATTATAAGGATCTCTCCTTGCAAGTGAAGATGTAACCATGCTGCACATCTAAATATCATTAACAGGAAAGGAGTGAGAGGTAGCATGGAGCTAGAGGGGATTTAAGAGAAGCTTGTTAGCTTGACAGATAAGAAGCACAAGCAGAGAAGTGAACAAAAAGAAAATCCAGAAGGATAAAGAGTAGAAGAGTAAAAGAAAAACTGATACCACCAAAATGAAACATTGCTGTAAGGTACCAGGTGAAGGTCAGGAAAGGAGAGGTTCATTCAAATGTGAATGGAAGTAGGGATGAGAATATAAAGTCCAGGGAATTCCTTTACCCATCTCTGCTAAGCTGGTGAATCCTGGAAAAGCAGGTGCAGTTCTCTGGATCTTCCCAAGGTTCGGTGCACTGGATGACCACTGTTTGTATCCTTCTACCAGAGCTTTCAGACTGAAATAGTAGAAAGATGGGAGAAAATGTACCATGCTCACAACCAATTTTCACCCCCACCCCCCTTCTATATTCTCCATTGCTCTACTTAGGGCACGTGCACATCCATCTTAATTACATAGATTTGAAGTCCTCCCATAGCAAGACATTTTCTAACATCTTTACAGCACCTTAAAACACAAGAAAAGTCAAAAAGTCCTTCCCTCATTTGTTACACCATGGCAGTCTAAGGACCTCTGCTGATAACCAACAGCTATGAATGCAGAATAATAGAAAGCACCACTGCATCAAATCAGATGGAACATTTTCTTTTTAAACTAAGGCAAACCTACCATGGCAGGTGTAAAAAAAAAAAAAAAAAAAAAAAAAAGTGCTCAACAGGAGGAGGGAAAAAATATCTCCAAAAACATTTCCATGTGAAATGCAAATGAACAATGAAACTCAAAGATCACTGGGACAATAATATGCTAAAGTCACTGTAACAGCAAAGTCATGCCTCTACATTATAAACCCCAATATTTCTCCTCTAAAGAAAGCACTGTATTGAAGTACAGACAGTTAAAAGCGTTAAGTTCTAGATTATGGAAAAATAGGTAACTAAAATCATAAATTATGTCATTGTTTCTTTTACTTACAGACAAAAAACCTCCAAAACTCAAAAAACCAAACAAGTGAAAAACCCAAAACCAAATTCCTACTTTGATGTTACCTGCATTTAAAGGTATGTCACCAGACGCCTGAGCTTATTAGTAGTCCCCATTCACAGGTATTCATTACCATCATCCTATTTGTTCCCTACAATATTTTCATGACATCAGAAGCAACTTTAGTAAGCAGCACAACTTTCTGACATATCACTACTCAGCAAAGTTTTATTGCTCAGTTATCAATATAGTCTGAACTGGGAGATTTCTGGTGCCTTTCTCCAAACTCCAATATGAAACACATCATAGTGTTGGTGAAAAGCTAACATATGCTTAGGATAGACAGAAATTGAATTAAAGTAGTAGAAAGATCTGTGGATAGTCTGAATGATCTCAACTGGACACATGAGAGCATCGACTTGTTATTAAAAGAACAGAAAAAACTTAGGAGATGAGACCTCTTACAACTCCATTACTAACTTGCATGGCTCTTTGATAAGCCACATAATTCATCACAATCCTTCCCTTACAGAGGAAGGAGGATATACGCATATAGAAGTTATCTCTCATGATTCTTATTTGCCACGAGAATCACTCTGCATTTCTAAGATGGCCTCCATTGCAGGATTTCAAAGTTTTATTATATCAGGCTTTTTTGCCTTGGTATGTATTTTTCCTCTATTCTCTACCTAACTGGGATGCCCTCCTTGTCCCCAAACTATATTGCTATAGCAAGGACACAAGGTCTAAATTTGATTCAGCACATGTTCACATGATTGATGACTGTGCTCTAGGCATCACACTGAAAGTATCCTGTGGAGTTCTCAACTGTCTTGAAAGTCCATCATTTTTCCCCCCATTAACCATTCTGGCACATGCAGTACCCTGCTATGAACTTCGATCCAGACAGCACAGTGCTCAATCCTACTTCTCAAGACAGACAACCACATGGTCTTACAACAGAGATGCAATTCGGTGTGCAGGTCTGTTCTAATTTACTCCCTCCACGCTATACTCAGCTATGTAACACAACCCACCAAATAATGTATGTTGTATCTAAATTAACCATGTGTACAACATGCATAGTTAGGATAAATGCTATAAATAGAGCAGCATATTAAAGGAAAGCTGGTGAGTGAAAATGAACCATGTTAGCAGTGTGATCACCTCCAAAAGTAAATGTCAAACCTCTTACAATATGGGTAGACAACTAAAGAGGAAACGGAGATTTCCATGGAGCAGGCAAAGCACATACTCTGTTCTCTATATGCAGAGATAGCAAAGTTGTAAGGGATAGGCAGCAGTAATCTTCAGTTTAGCCTTCACTTTACAGTCATAGTTATCTAAAGGGTCTTGTGAATTGCCCTTTATTGAACAGCAGGACACAGCAACTTAGTTTGCTTCCTATGACTTCTCAGAGCAATCTTCCCTTGCAAAAAAGAGACTGAAGATTTGCTGTTAGTGACAAAGTGTGGCTCAACCTGAACAGGAAAAAAAAATAGCTACCAGAACAATTTCAAGGCCTGCTATGTTTGCCTCAACGTTATAAAATCTTCATCCTTCCCTTTTATTTTTTGCTCCTTCTCTCTCTCTCCCCCCCCAAATTCTGAGCAGACCCCAAAGACCTGTGCAGAGGATAGCTGCACACCCTCTTAATTAGACGGTAGTGTGCATTTAAAAACAATTCAAAACATGCTGACTTTAGAGTACATTCCTACTACAGCAGTATTCTCTGTTACTGCTCCAAGGAAGGAGCAACTGGAATGATTTCAAAGCACTAGCAGCAAAACTAACTATTTCAGTCACCAGCCTGACAATTCAGGAACCTAAAGAGTTCTTACCTGTAATATATTTAGATTAAATAACAGGAAGGTTATTACTCTGTTTGTTGTATTATGGTTGAGTTACTTCTCTGTTGCCTTTTTCTATTGGGAAGTTAAAAGCACCCCTCTTTAGGAGTGACAAGGTGACAAGGCTTATTCGCTCAGCAAATTGCAAAAAAACTTCCCTACAACTGTAAGACGGCATCTCTGGTGTCTTAATACCACTCTGTAACACCAAGTTGAGGCATTAATACAATATTGTCATGAATAAAAAGTGTCTGTTCCTAGGCTCACCCCTATTTAGCTTGCAAGATTTTAAGAGGAAACTGCTAAAGGACTACAACTACCCCACATCCACTGTCACCTTCCGTAAAATCAGTAACACCACCAGTGTGAAAACGTAAATAGGGTAAAGATCACCCATGCCATAGTAACAGTCTGAGACTAATCAATGCCAAGTTTAAAGGCAATTAAGACTTCATCATATATCCTTGAGAATATATCATAAGATCACAACTGAACTGTCACTACACAAGCCCAACATAAAGCTTCATCGAATCTCTGCAATTCAGCACAGCAACCTTCTGCTGCTGTGCATATTCCTTATGCTCAAAGATAAATGCAGAATGGTGAATAATCACTGTATAATCTTCTCATGACTGCCTTTACTTGATGTTAACTACAGGTCAGTTTAGTCATGACAGAGAATTTCACTGCAATTCCCACAGTGTTGTTCTTCCATAAATTTGGAATTACCTCCTGTGAAGAACACATGCAAAATGATAAAAAAAGATGAAGATTCAAGTTCCTTTGATCACAGAGTCATGTAAGCAGCTGGGATAGCAGCACTGCTGCTACCAGAACAGTGTCATGGAGAAGACTCAAACAGGGCTGTTCTATCCTAAGTTTAGCTCTTCAATTTACCCCAATTTTTATCCCACTACCCTCTAAAATTAGAATTAAAAAATACTAAAAATAGCAAGCACTCTATCTTTTGAGTCATTAACGTTTACTGCAACTATGCTTCCTTTAAATTAAGGTCTGCAGTCTGGCATGATCTCAGCAAGAAGCAGCAGTTCATTGTATGTTAACCATACTGCCCTCTCAGCAACACTATCATGTTTCAGATATTCTGCAAAATGCCACAGCTGTATTGAGTCTCCCTGGAAAAGGTGATGAATACTATAGAACATCTCAGTTGTAGAGAGAACAGGACAGTTTTCAGAACAACCATAGTTAGCAAGCAACTCTTTTCCAGCTGTCTGTGCCTAAAAGCAATTCAGTGCTTCAGACTGTAGAGTAATGAACAGAAACTGAAGAGCTTTATTCCCAGAATTCTAAGAACATGATTTCAAGGTAGAAGTGTTTTTCTATCAGCTTCAGTGATCTCCTGCCCTTTTATATAGTTAATGATTGTGAAGTGTGACCCGGTGACCCGCCTCATGGATGAAGGAAAGGCTGTGGATGTCATCTACCTGGACTT